TGGATATTCAAGAAATTCCGAGAACTTTCTTTCCAATCAGATAACAGATTCTGAAATAATTTCAACAGATCACTTACTTAAGCGGCCGCAAGTAACATCAACTGCGATTTACCATTCAAAATGAGCCCCCCCCCAGCTCTTGCGGGCATTGCGGCAGTTTCCATATCCTCGATGCATGACCCAAAATCACAAATTTCAATTGATAATTACGAAATTCCAGAAGAGACATCGGGACTTATTAGGCTAACCTTATTTCGCTCAAGAGAAAGTCAAACCTCGACTTACAATGAGGCCAATGATATGGGTCTATCGCACGGATTTCGAGACATTTCGGTGAGTAATGTTAACGTTTGGCTGATGATGGTCGCTGAGCAGGGGGGCGATCCTCTCGCTGTTATCAGCTTTAGAACATTTAAAAGTCGCATACATTTATTGTAGTCGTGGCCGCTGAAATGTATGCCCAGGTTTTACCAAGGCGGAAAAATGAAAAAGGTTGATTGGACAATAGGAGGGGTATGAGGGGTCCGGGTGGGGGCGGGGGGGAGGGGGGTATGAGGGGCCGGGGTGGGGGGGGAACTAGGGAAGCAATGAATAATTTCTGTACTCGCCCCTGATCATGGACCTATTTCGAATTTCACGAACTATATACATGAGAACGTGTTTGTAGCGTGAAATGTTAGGCCTATCTGGAGTTTCTCGAATCATCTTGACTTGGAAGCCTGCGGACGGCCTGCCTTCATAATTCCAATGCATGCTGGACGCCACGATCAACAGGGATGCCATGATCAACAGGGATGCCCATGCACGGTATGTCCATATTTCCTCCAAATTCATCGGTCGCCGATAAACACTGTTACGATCTCAGTCCAACCCATGGACAACACAAACATTTCACAAACACGTATGGCCCATTAAAAAGTAGAAGACCCAATCTCCGACACGAAAGCAGAAGCAGTCATGAATTTCTCGTATCTCTAGCACGATATCCGGCAACCAACACGATACCCGGTAAGACTAAAGGAACGAGAGCCAATTCCATTATTCACAGTAAAAGGGAACATCGTCAGCAACGAAAAGGGCCCATGTCTCGCTCTACGAGTCAACTTCTTTATTTTGGTTCGGTTATCAGAACTTGGTGGGGCTTCACGAGGGAGCAGGGGGGGGGGGGAGAAACAAAGTACCAGAAAGAATTTCAAACCTGCTGAAAACGAGATCCCATTTTCCTTCGCAATCCGGGAGAGATGGAGTTTCAGGTTTGCTCCATTTCCATTCTGGAGGCGTTCTCTCCTCAGACCTCGTCGAGATGGGTCCCGGAACTCCACATAGGCCTAACGTTACACGATGTCAGGGAGAGCCTCAAAGATCCGGAGATTCACCCATATAGACCTAATTGGTCACGGAAGTCCAGGGTTGAGATACTTTAGAAAGAAAAAAGGTAAGCCCAGGCCTGACTCGAAGACATACGTGGGTTAGGCTTGGGCCTAACGTTGGTGAGTCCCATATAGAGGGGAAAGGGAGAGGGGGGGCGGGGGATAAAAAAAAGGACCTTTCAAGAATTGCTATTACACGACTTCGAATGTCTTATGCTTGTCGATTAAGGTATGTAGTCGAGCATTAGCCTATGCTCTGCATTGCTATGTAGCTAATTACATTAAAAATACAAATATATGAGTCTATATGACTAAGCTTAATTTGTGGTTCTCTTCTAACAAGTAATTCAATGGTTCTCTATAATCTATCCATGTTCACGCTTTTCATATTTAGTCCAAGCCTTCTCTCACCCTATGGTTGTTGACAACCAGGATTCCTAAAAATTTTTAAATTCCATTTGAGACCAAGCCACATGCAATTTGCAATCGATTCAGCAGTTCATGCTCAGAGCGCTTTGTAGATGTCGTATTCTTTCACTCCTATGGTGGATTACCCTGGATTTCCATGCCTCAGAGGATGAAATAATTACTCAACAGCTGTCCGTTGTTAGCGAGTTTGGGAAATTCAACCCAAGAGCTTCACACCAAAGCTGCCGATAGATTTTTCAGTGAATAATATTCATTAGCCTTTCGGTGCAACTTAAAAAAATATATATTTATATTCCATGATTATCGAGACAAAAGTTAACGAAATTAGTTAAATGTGATAAGTTGCATAGAAGGGGAAATTTTAAATATTTTCATTTCAGGATATCTACTAAACTTCTTCCCACTCTCAAAGCGGCTGGAACGAGAGAAACCCCAATATGGAAGTGAATCTACACCATATGCTTGCCCTCGTGATGACCGCGATGCCCTGCCTCAATTCCGCGCCAGCCATTAGGTAAGAAGAGAAGCCGAGGATGTAGACCGAGCTCCGGGGACGGGAGCGTGGACAGACCGGAGGGAGCAGGTTAAAGGCTTCAAGTTCGAATAACATGGTTATTATAAAAATTATTTCCAAATCGTCCCTAAAGAGTGATGTTCATGAAGTCGGAATAGTATCCGTGGAGGAATCCTGAAACGTGAGCCTTTTCTCCTGATCCCACTCTAATTCCATGGGCATGCAGCGGTAGGAGGGGGTCACAATCTCTAGTCGCAAATTGTGATTAACTGATTGCACTCCCCTGTTGCCCGGGCGATATGGAACAAGAACATTCAATCATGGTGAAACGAAATAAGAGTGCAAAGGATTGTAAATGAACTCATACCCCTCACTTCCCTCACTTTTTGCTTTCGTTGAAAGCTGTTCGAGGGGGATGGAAGACCGAAAAAAAACTGCGACCTCTAAAAAAAAGTCCCCCCTCTCCGCAATAGCAGGAACCGTTCGTCTATGCATGACGTCTATTCATGCATAACGCTGACGATGGTCAAGGTCAACTAAATAAGAGAGCTGTGCGTGTGGGTTGTCTCCATTTTGTCAGTCTTCATCTGTTCATTGCACTGCTCTTTACTCATGTACCATGTGACACCATGTGGGCGATTCTTCTCCTCGTATTTCTCTTCACTCTGTGGTTTTACTTGAAGCCAGACATCGGGAAAAGTGTAAAATACTTTGTCGCATACTTGCTACTTCGCTGCAAAAAATTGAGGAATAAGAAACGGATTTGGGACGTCGTTCCTTGCCCAAGGGATTTCAAGAAAGCTGGCCTTCTCCCTTCGTCGTTAGAAAAGGATTTCGAAGCTCCTCGATGGGGATTTGGGGAAGAAGTCCTCGAATTCCACGGCATTTGTGCCGAGGACGATGCGCATTTGTGGCTGAAAATTTCTCGACATCGTCGTTCTACTGCTGTGGTTCGATTTCAAGTGAAACTTGCCGGAGGGCCGGTTCTCAAGTTGCCCGTGGAGGCGGCGTTCAGACGATGCAGCTGGAACGAGGAGCGATTCCTTGGCATAGGATTTAGAGTAGAATGTCTCCAGCCCATGATACGATGGAGAGTTGCATTCAACGGGATGCTTCAGGATGAAGAAAGAAAAGCTCATCACGTGCAGATTCGATTCATTTGGTCTACAATGACTCCCGTATTTGACTATGACTACGATTGGGACCCAAAGCTGCGAGCTTCTATGTGGAGTGATAGTGGATCGTTGGAAATGGCTCAACTTCTAGGGCATCCTGTAGTTGATGGCTATGAATCGTGGGGATTCATCCAGGGTCTGCTTGACATCTCTGGACATGAAAGTAAGAATTTCATATTCCGAGGTCCAAGAATTCATGCATGGAGTGGCAATCCGGAGCTGCACAGAAGTGATTCTGTCTCGATTTGGCTGGAAAATGGAACCATGATCTCTGCCCGCAAGGAAGGTTGCGACAGGGAAGGGTATGTCGTACACAGCGATTGCACACTTCATCCCATGACGAAATGTCTTCTGCCGATCTTCCAGGATGCCCATAAGCATGTGTTTGGAAGTGCCTCCACCAACTTCAGAGAGTATCCGCTAGAAATATTCACTGGCGATGTGGAGTCATCACACGGTCTAAACACCCTCAAGGTTCTTTCTCGTAGCTGGAAAGGATGGGGTCTATCTCTATCGGGAGAGAGGTCGGATATAGAGAACATGCTGATGATGGTTAACGACGAACCAGAAAATAAACGCTTATCTGGAAGATGCGAAAAAGTGATAGCACTCTCGGATACATCGTGCGAAAACCCCAACGCAGTGGGTGGGAAGGGGAGTTCGCTAGCTGTAACCTTTCGACTACAGAGATATTCTAAATGCCTAGAGGATTTCATAGTCCCTCGGGGAATGTGCCTTACTGCTGCGGCAGGACGCGATCACGCGATATCTACCCCTGCCATTGCCAATGCCATCAGTCTCCTCAAAGAGACACGTGACGAAAAAAAAATTCAAGCTGCATGTGACGATGTCGTCGAAGCTTTTCGGAAATCGCAAGTCTTGCCGGAATTACAGGGAAACATTCAGGTTATACTGAGATCCATCTTTGGACGAGATTGGGAGAAGATGTCATTTGCCGTGAGGTCATCTGCCTTGGGTGAAGATGGGGAGGTGATGTCAGCAGCTGGTCAGAACGAAACCATTCTCGGTGTCGTCGGGAAGGAAAGCCTCATGGAAGCGATCCTAACATGCTGGGCTTCTCAGTTCGCTTTCAGATCCGTGACATATAGGAGGCAGCATGGTCAATCAGTGCATGCGGATATGGGCGTCGTCATCCAAGAAATGGTGGCTGCAGAGGCAGCCGGAGTTCTCTTCACGTGCCATCCTGTTTCTGGTCACCCTGGATTCATGAGCATCTCGTCTAATTTCGGCATCGGAGAGACAGTCGTGTCTGCCTCTGCAGACCCCGATACCATCATGGTCACGAGAGATTCCGATCGCTCGTTCAAGCTGGATAGCGTTGAGAAAGGCGAGAAGCAGAAACGACTTGTAATGAAGGACAACTCTCTCGTGGAAGAGGAAGGTGCAGAACGTGACCTGATTTCCTTGTCCGAAGACGATGCCAGGAGGCTTTGTATCATCGGAGATTTCCTCCAAAGCGAAGTGGGAACCCCTCAAGATATCGAATGGGCCATCGCCGATGGAGACATCTTCATCCTCCAGTCGCGACCCGTGACCACTCTTCATTCCTGGTCGGATCACGAACTCATCCACGAATTCGATACGGGTCTGTTTACGGATCACGAATACACCAGTACGGGAAATATTGCGGAGTCTTTCCCTTGTGCTTTATCTCCACTCGCCATGACGTTTACCATGATTTCCATCGATTCGGCCTACCAGGATTTAATATTATATCAACCAGGCCATTTCTCCCCTACCTTCATGAAAAGCATCGTTTTCTCTCATTGGAAAGGGTTGCTTAATGTTGTGAACATGCTATTTAAGGATCCTAAGGAAGAGATCGATCCCGCAATACGAGCATTTCAAATCGTTATCTTTGGCCGTCCATACGAAGACAAGGAAATGCACTCGATAGCTTTAGAACGATTCGGAGCGAAAAGCTCTTTTCGGAGAACTAGTGAGATGCTCCGAATTTTCAGTCAATACCTGTTGTCTTCCCGGGCGATGAAGAGAGCCATTGCATCTTACGGGTCATTCGATCTCCCTTTTGACCCGTCAATGACGTCGCTGGAATTATACGCACTCATGACTGAATCGTCTCTGCACATTCGGAACGTCGCGCGAGTGCACATTGATATGACTTTAATCACTGCCATGTTTGAAGTGATTATGCTGAGTATGCTGGCAAAAGGGAATGTGGATTTCAATACAGAAAGCTACACGGACGCTGCGGAGCTTCTCCAATGTGCAACGGACGTGGAGTCTGTGAAAATACCGAAGACCATTCGGAGGATGTCGGTGCTTGCAAAGTCGAAGGGCCAGGAATTTCTCAAGATGTCTGTGGGGGAGGCCTTTAAGTACCTACAAAAGGACAAAGGATCTCTTGGTGACATGTTCCGAGACTTCATGTCTCGGCACGGACACAGATGCAAGCAGGAACTGGACATCACGACTCCGTCCTGGCACGAAGACCCAAGCGATATCATCAGTACGATGCAGACGATCGCGTCCGACCCGGAGACGAAAGCGGAAGATAAGCAAGAAGACAAACATCGAGACGTTGGCGTGATCGTAGATGGCCTGAAAACGGAGCTTTCAGACAAGGCCAAATGGGTCCTCCGTCGACTGATTCCGATGTGCCGGAATGCGATCGGTCGCAGGGAGATGGCACGCTCCATGTTCGTCAGGTCGGTTAAAGTCGTCCGGAATGTTGTGTTGGGACTCGCAAACCGAATGGTTCGAGACGGGTACCTGCCTGATAGGGATCTCATATTTTTCCTAACCTGCTACGAGATCGGGGAGCTTTTGAGGAAACAAACGCCCAGTCTCATCCAAAGGGCTGCGAAACGTCGAAGGATCTTCGCCAGATTAGATGTGCTCAAATTTCCCGAGCTGAATCGAGGCATTCCGATTCCCGAAAATGAGGAATCTCCCGAATTCCTACCGGATGACTCGAACGCGTTTAAGCTGACTGGAACCCCCGTGTGTCATGGAATTGCACGCGGCACTATACGCGTCGTTGTGCTCCTCAAAGACGCTCACGAGATCCAGAGGGGAGATATCTTGGTGACGTGTGGGACCGACGTCGGTTGGTCCCCTTATTTCCCTGTCATCGGAGGCCTGGTCACAGAGATCGGTGGGCTCCTGTCCCACGGCGCCGTCGTTGCGAGGGAATACGGACTTCCTTGCATCATTGGGGTTAAAAATGCGACGAAAATTGCGAAGTCGGGAACCATCGGAATTCTGGACAGTGGGAAAGGAACGCTTATTATGGAACATTCTTGAACCGAATTCTTCCATTTTCTCTTGTTACCAGTGTATCTCTTTAAAATGTGCCCGTTATTAGACGTATTTAGATTATATTACTCATCTCAGTAAGATACGTCTCTTTTTGCATTTAATCCTTGTTTCCAGCTTTGTGCGGGTGGTGGATCATATGAGAAACATTTGCCTTCATGAATAACTTTTAGCTGACTCAAACTTTTAAAAAAATCGGATACCGTCTGGAAGTAAGATGATGTGTGCGTTGTGAGAATTGGGTTGACTGAATTGATCATCTGAGCCTGCCAGACAACGCCTCTGCTGACGACTATGCAAAATACGACCTGTTCTATGCTGAGTTGATTAATGTCAATTCCCTCTCATCTTAACTCAATGTCACGGACGTTTAGCATTATTGTTCATGCATTCTTTTTTTGTCTGCTTTCTATTTTATATTAAATCATATTGGAAATAAATATCATACTGAGGAAAGTCTAGATTGTAATTTCCAAGAAGATTATCCGGATTTAATTTTCTTTCTTATTTTTTTTCCTCTACCACGTTTCTCGTTTAGAAAACAAGAAAACTTTCCCAAGTAACACCGGAACGAACAATGAATGCTAAATGGATCTCCAGACGAATGTCTTGCCAACGTCATTGACATGAACGTCCTTGGGAACAATTGACTGTCGGACATTTTTAGCGATCGGTATCAGTTTCAATTATGCATTTCCCGACCCCTCATCAAGGATCTAACTCGAACGTCCGTAGCATCAAAATATGCAAGGAGCCGCTCCTCTCAAGAACCATTAAAATAACTACTTGGAAACTATTTTTCCATCGTTTAAATAACTTTGAGTCGAAGTATGAGCCTGCTCCCGTGTCAACGGCAATCAAGCATCCCAGCCTACTTTGGCTTAACTTGGAGTACATCTTTCTCTTATAGAAGATTAAGTATTGTGATTAACAAAATGCTCTACTCTTTTCTATGGGAGAAGCAAAGTTTCATTAATGCAGGCAAAAAAATTATATTGGATACGCGATCGATATTGGATAGATAAGAAGTGTTGAAATGTGTTAGCTTTTTTCAGCACCCATGCCTAAATTGTGCAATGCTCATTTAGAGTTGAATTGAAGGCGCTTAGACGTGGATCATTCCTTCTCGGGTGAGGTAATGACCTGTGTCTCGGCATTTAAAGAAATTTGGCTAACTTACTTTCACAATTAACATACTTTGTCAGAAGATATGACTGTACTTGGAACGAAGGGTTAGAAAAGTAAGTTTAATTTGATTTGGTTTGGGGTTGTGGGTGAGGCCCAAAATGATCCCAACCCCCAGGTGTTAATTCTGACTATGCCGTTTTTCTACTGTCGCCACCTTAATTTGATTGGCTATACCATTCCAAGGGACAACAAGGATCAGCTGATACTTTACAGAGAGGTTCATCGTTATTATTTTTCATTTTCAGGTGCTGCTTTTGAGCTGCCTCGTCGCTTGCACTGCTGTGTCAACCTGACCCGATGTCACCATAAAGAAGGGGCGGAGAGGTTAAGGAAAGGGAAAGCCTTTGAAATATGGTTTTCACGTTACTTATTCATTAAGCCATAATAGCATGTACGAGTTACGAATATCATATTCCATCCTCACTGTTGCATTGACGTAACGAAATAAGTACATTCGATCATGGTAACGGGAAGCACTGTCATATTAGAGAAGGTTGTCAACATTCCTTCCGCGTTTTTCCTTTGTTTTTTTTTTGGCTTTCGTGAAAAACAGTGGGAGGAGATAGGAAACCTGAAGAGAATGTTTGCTTTGGGATCGCGTCTAAACAACTCATCCTCTCATCCCATGTGCAAGAACCGTTCTCCCATGCCCATACATGGCTTTGACGACTGTCAAGGTCAACTAGATAAAAAAAAAAAGCTAGGAGTCGGGGTGGTCTCATCTAGTTTTTTATCTGCTCGCTGCTCAGTTCTCTTCTTGCCTTGTTGCGTTTAACGCCATGTGGGGGATCCTTCTCCTCGTATTTCTCTTCACTCTGTGGTTCCACCTAAAGCCAGACTTCGGAAACAGCGTAAAATACTTTGTCGCGTACTTGCTACTTCGCTGCAAGAAGTTCAGGAATGAGAAGCGGATTTGGAACGTCGCTCCTCGCCCGAAAGATTTCGAGAAAGCGGGTCTGCTTCCAACGTCGTTGGAGAAAGATTTCGAAGCTCCTCGATGGGGGTTCGGGGAGGAAGTCCTTGAATTTCGCGGCATTTGTGCCGAGGACGATGCGCATTTGTGGCTGAAAATTTCTCGACTTCGTCGTTCTACCATTGCGGTTCGATTTCAAGTGAAACTTGCCGGTGGGTCGATTCTCAAGTTGCCCGTTGAGACGCCGTTCAGACGTTGCAGCTGGAACGAGGAGCGGTTTCTTGGCATGGGATTTAGAGTGGAATGTCTCCAGCCCATGATACGATGGAGAGTTGCATTCAACGGGATCCTCGAGGATGAGAAAGGGAAGCCTCATCACGGGCAGGTTCGATTCATTTGGTCAGTAATGACTCCCGTATTCGACTATGACTATGACTGGAATCCGAAGCTGCGAGCTTCTAAGTGGAATGATAGTGGATCGTTGGATATGGCTCAACTTCTAGGGCATCCTGTAGTTGATGGCTATGAATCTTGGGGATTCATTCAAGGTCTGCTTGACATCTCAGAACAGGAAAGTAAGAATTTCATATTCCGAGGTCCAAGAATTCATGCATGGAGTGGCAATCCTGAGTTGCACCGGTGTGATTCTGTCTCGATTTGGTTGGAAAATGGCACTATGATCTCTGCTCGCAAGGAAGGTCGCGACAGGGAAGGGTATGTAGTTCACAGCGATTGCACACTTCATCCCATGACGAAATGTCTTCTGCCGATCTTCCAGGATGCCCATAAGCATGTGTTTGGAAGTGCCTCCACCAACTTCAGAGAGTATCCGCTAGAAATATTCACTGGCGATGTGGAGTCATCACACGGTCTAAACACCCTCAAGGTTCTTTCTCGTAGCTGGAAAGGATGGGGTCTATCTCTATCGGGAGAGAGGTCGGATATAGAGAACATGCTGATGATGGTTAACGACGAACCAGAAAATAAACGCTTATCTGGAAGATGCGAAAAAGTGATAGCACTCTCGGATACATCGTGCGAAAACCCCAACGCAGTGGGTGGGAAGGGGAGTTCGCTAGCTGTAGCCTTTCGACTACAGAGATATTCTAAATGCCTAGAGGATTTCATAGTCCCTCGGGGAATGTGCCTTACTGCTGCGGCAGGACGCGATCACGCGATATCTACCCCTGCCATTGCCAATGCCATCAGTCTCCTCAAAGAGACACGTGACGAAAAAAAAATTCAAGCTGCATGTGACGATGTCGTCGAAGCTTTTCGGAAATCGCAAGTCTTGCCGGAATTACAGGGAAACATTCAGGTTATACTGAGATCCATCTTTGGACGAGATTGGGAGAAGATGTCATTTGCCGTGAGGTCATCTGCCTTGGGTGAAGATGGGGAGGTGATGTCAGCAGCTGGTCAGAACGAAACCATTCTCGGTGTCGTCGGGAAGGAAAGCCTCATGGAAGCGATCCTAACATGCTGGGCTTCTCAGTTCGCTTTCAGATCCGTGACATATAGGAGGCAGCATGGTCAATCAGTGCATGCGGATATGGGCATCGTCATCCAAGAAATGGTGGCTGCAGAGGCAGCCGGAGTTCTCTTCACGTGCCATCCTCTCTCGGGTCACCCTGGATTCATGAGCATCTCGTCTAATTTCGGCATCGGAGAGACAGTCGTGTCTGCCTCTGCTGACCCCGATTCCATCATGGTCACGAGAGATTCCGATCGCTCGTTCAAGCTGGATAGCGTTGAGAAAGGCGAGAAGCAGAAACGACTTGTAATGAAGGACAACTCTCTCGTGGAAGAGGAAGGTGCAGAACGTGACCTGATTTCCTTGTCCGAAGACGATGCCAAGAGNGAATGTCTCCAGCCCATGATACGATGGAGAGTTGCATTCAACGGGATCCTCGAGGATGAGAAAGGGAAGCCTCATCACGGGCAGGTTCGATTCATTTGGTCAGTAATGACTCCCGTATTCGACTATGACTATGACTGGAATCCGAAGCTGCGAGCTTCTAAGTGGAATGATAGTGGATCGTTGGATATGGCTCAACTTCTAGGGCATCCTGTAGTTGATGGCTATGAATCTTGGGGATTCATTCAAGGTCTGCTTGACATCTCAGAACAGGAAAGTAAGAATTTCATATTCCGAGGTCCAAGAATTCATGCATGGAGTGGCAATCCGGAGTTGCACCGGTGTGATTCTGTCTCGATTTGGTTGGAAAATGGCACTATGATCTCTGCTCGCAAGGAAGGTCGCGACAGGGAAGGGTATGTAGTTCACAGCGATTGCACACTTCATCCCATGACGAAATGTCTTCTGCCGATCTTCCAGGATGCCCATAAGCATGTGTTTGGAAGTGCCTCCACCAACTTCAGAGAGTATCCGCTAGAAATATTCACTGGCGATGTGGAGTCATCACACGGTCTAAACACCCTCAAGGTTCTTTCTCGTAGCTGGAAAGGATGGGGTCTATCTCTATCGGGAGAGAGGTCGGATATAGAGAACATGCTGATGATGGTTAACGACGAACCAGAAAATAAACGCTTATCTGGAAGATGCGAAAAAGTGATAGCACTCTCGGATACATCGTGCGAAAACCCCAACGCAGTGGGTGGGAAGGGGAGTTCGCTAGCTGTAACCTTTCGACTACAGAGATATTCTAAATGCCTAGAGGATTTCATAGTCCCTCGGGGAATGTGCCTTACTGCTGCGGCAGGACGCGATCACGCGATATCTACCCCTGCCATTGCCAATGCCATCAGTCTCCTCAAAGAGACACGTGACGAAAAAAAAATTCAAGCTGCATGTGACGATGTCGTCGAAGCTTTTCGGAAATCGCAAGTCTTGCCGGAATTACAGGGAAACATTCAGGTTATACTGAGATCCATCTTTGGACGAGATTGGGAGAAGATGTCATTTGCCGTGAGGTCATCTGCCTTGGGTGAAGATGGGGAGGTGATGTCAGCAGCTGGTCAGAACGAAACCATTCTCGGTGTCGTCGGGAAGGAAAGCCTCATGGAAGCGATCCTAACATGCTGGGCTTCTCAGTTCGCTTTCAGATCCGTGACATATAGGAGGCAGCATGGTCAATCAGTGCATGCGGATATGGGCATCGTCATCCAAGAAATGGTGGCTGCAGAGGCAGCCGGAGTTCTCTTCACGTGCCATCCTGTCTCTGGTCACCCTGGATTCATGAGCATCTCGTCTAATTTCGGCATCGGAGAGACAGTCGTGTCTGCCTCTGCTGACCCCGATTCCATCATGGTCACGAGAGATTCCGATCGCTCGTTCAAGCTGGATAGCGTTGAGAAAGGCGAGAAGCAGAAACGACTTGTAATGAAGGACAACTCTCTCGTGGAAGAGGAAGGTGCAGAACGTGACCTGATTTCCTTGTCCGAAGACGATGCCAAGAGGCTTTGTATCATCGGAGATTTCCTCCAGGGCGAGATGGGAACCCCTCAAGATATCGAATGGGCCATCGCCGATGGAGACATATTCATCCTCCAGTCACGACCCGTGACCACTCTTCATTCCTGGTCGGATCACGAACTCATCCACGAATTCGATACGGGTCTGTTTACGGATCACGAATACACCAGCACAGGAAACATCGCGGAGTCTTTCCCCGGTGCTATTTCTCCTCTTACCATGACGTTATCCATGAAGTCCATCGATTCGGGCACCCAGGATTTATTATTGAATCAACCTGACCATTTCGCCCCGGCTCTCATGAAAACTCTAGTGCTCTCTCATTCCAAAGGGTTGCTTAATGTCGTGAACATGCTATTCAAGGATTCCGAGGAAAAGATTGATCCCGGAATACGAGCTTTTCAAATTGTCGCTTTCGGTCGTCCATACGAAGACAAGGAAATGCACTCGATGGGCTTGGAACGATTCGGAGCGAAAAGCTCCTTTCAGAAAGCTTGTGAGATGCTTCACATCTTCCGACGGTACTTCTTGTCCTCCTGGACGATGAAGACAGCCATTGCATCTTACGGATCACTCGATATCACTTACGACCCATCACTAACATCGCAGGAATTATACGCACTCATGACTGAATCGTCTCTGCACATTCGGAACGTTATCCGAGTGCACGTGGAAATGGCATTTATAACTGCCATTTTGGAAGTGATTATGCTGAGTATCCTGGCAAAAGGGAATGTGGATTTCAATACAGAAAGCTACACGGATGCAGCGGAGCTTCTCCAATGTGCAACGGATGTGGAGTCTGTGAAAATTCCGAAGACCATTCGAAGGATGGCTTTGCTTGCAAAGGCAAAGGGTCAGGATTTCCTCACGTTGTCTGTGGAAGATGCCCTTAAGTACCTCGAAAAGGACAAAGGAGCTCTTGGTGACATTTTCCGAGACTTCATGTCTCGGCACGGACACAGATGCAAGCAGGAAGTGGATATCATGACTGCGCCCTGGTACGAAGATCCGAGCGACATCATCTGTACGATCCAGACGATCGCCTCCGACATGGAGACGAAAGCAGAAGTAAAACAAGAAGATAAGCATCGAGACGTCGGCGTTATCATAGACGGCCTGAAAACGGAGCTGTCCGATAAGGCCAAATGGATCCTCCGTCGACTGATTCCGATGTGCCGGAATGCGATCGGTCGCAGGGAGATGGCACGCTCCGTGTTCATCAGGGCGGTTAAAGTCGTCCGGAAAGTAGTGTTGGGACTCGCAGACCGAATGGTTCGAGATGGATACCTGCCTGATAGGGACCTCATATTTTTCCTCACCTGCTACGAGATCGGGGAGCTGTTGGAGAAACGAACGCCGAGTCTCATCCAAAGAGCAGAGAAACGTAGACGGATCTTTCCCAAATTGGATTCGCTGAAATTTCCCGAGCTGAATCGAGGCATTCCCATTCCCGAAAATGATGAACCCCTCGAGTTTCTCCCTGGCGATCCAAACGCGTCGAAGTTGAATGGGACGCCCGTGTGTCATGGAATTGCACGAGGCATCATCCGCGTCGTTGTGCACCTTAAAGACGCTCACGAGATTCAAAGAGGTGACATCTTAGTGACGGGAGGGACTGACGTCGGTTGGTCTCCTTATTTCCCTGTCATCGGAGGCTTGGTCACGGAGATCGGGGGACTCTTGTCGCACGCTGCCGTCGTCGCAAGAGAATACGGACTTCCTTGTATCATAGGGGTGAAAAATGCGACAAAAATTGCGAAGTCGGGAACCATTGGAATTTTGGACAGTGGGAAAGGAACACTTATCATGGAGCAATCTTGAGCTGAAGCTCTTCCAGCTTCTCTTGTTATCTGTGTATCCATTGAAAATATGCATATTTAGAGACATGTGTTGTACTTGGGTATTTTAATAAAATTCTTCTTATTTCATCCCATCGACACAACACCTTTTTTTTTACATATATCATACAGTCTTTATCCCATAAATGAAGTGCCGAGGAAAAGTATCGATTGTTTTCTCTTGCGTGTGTTCATGACGTAGACTTCAGAGAGATACGAGTTCCCAAAATATTTTTTTTTTTACTCCAAGTTTCTTCATCGCCTAAGAGGACAGCTAATACCTTACGCGAATCGGGCTGGCCGCTTGGATGAAACGAGGATTCGAGACTTACCAAATCTTGCGTATTTCCTTCACGCGACTTCGAATGCAAAAAACAAAGTTTCTGCAGAAACATCTGAAACTGCTTCAAAGTGTGTTCTCATTTGTTCTTGAGAGTTGCTTTGGCGCTGTCTGGTGGGAAGTCGACATTTTGGCACAGTGTGTTGGAAGCTGAAGAACTGAAGAATTTTACCAGGTAAAACCTTATATTTCATTCAAGGAATCGACTTGTAGGTGACGTCATCAAGTCCCAATTCGAAAAATCGTTAGTGAAACTGTCCCGACGGTATAAGTGATAGAAACCAGCGGTCGATGCCCGTAAAAGGCATGGGTAACGTGCGAAGCACCTCGATAAGAGGAGTGCATTTAGCCCACGAGATAAGGTAGCGTCTGCCTCATACGATCTCGAATTCTCGGGTCTTTTCGATAATGCCTCAGTAGCCACGCTCAAGTACTTACTCGCAGTGACGTAGCCAGGGTTTCGCCGAAGGGAGGCTTCCCCCCCCCCCCACCGCTCTTGCTAAGCGATCCTAACAGGCTGGGCTTCTCAGTTCGCTTTCAGGTCCGTGACATATAGGAGGCAGCACGGTCAACCAGTGCATGCGGATATGGACGTCGTCATCCAAGAAATGGTGGCTTCAGAGGCAGCCGGAGTTCTCTTCACGTGCCATCCTCTCTCTGGTCACCCTGGATTCATGAGCATCTCGTCTAATTTCGGCATCGGAGAGACCGTCGATATTGATATTGAGCACCCTGTATGTTGTAAAAGAAACATTGTCTCATGATTAAAATCAGTCATACTTGTCATTGAAGAAGAGGCAGGTAGCAGTCATTCTATGCCAACAACAGATTATTAAGAAAAGGTTGCTAGACCTATAGAGATTTTCTTTTAAAAACTTCTGCTACTAATAACAGTCTTGCATGCTTTTGAAGCTCATGGCCATTTCTATAGTTGTGTATATCAAACGTTTTTTATGCAATGTTCATTCATTCATTCTTGCCATTGCACTCTACAATTAGAGGCAAGCTGTAAGATACCAAAACATGCCAAAATTAATACTCTACTATTAATAGTTCTCACATTGCATCTTTAAATTGCATAGGTGTTTCTGTCGTGTTTATTGATTGAGTCTTTTCTTCAAAGAATTAATTGGAATTTTCTCCTCTACCAAAGGTGAAAAAAGATGAAAAGAAGCATGGTGGAGACCTGGTCGCAGAAGTCCTCAAGGCACATGGAGTTGAGTGTATGTTCACCCTTGTTGGTGGGCACATCTCACCTATTCTTGTTGCTGCTGAGAGACTGGGCATCAGAGTCATTGATACTCGCCATGAGGTGAGAAGATCCTATGGTGTGCCTGTCCTGGAAAGCTAGAGCTCCTTATAGTTAATGGAATTTCACCTGCTTTTGAACTACCCCCATAGAATTGTTACCAGATCTGAGCTAGGGTGTCCTCAACCTTTAGGGCACATTTTGAGACAGTTCACTGGACCTGCCAGAGTTTCAGTAATGCCTATGTGATGTGACTATAATTATTTTTTATCACAGATGTAGCATGACATAATGACAATTATAAAGATCAAAGCCACTATTTTGGTCAATTTTTAGGTATAAAATCATCAACCCCCTAACAACAACCACATACCATTGTTGCAACCAATCGATGAGCACCAACAGCATGATGGGATAATGCCCGGGCCCGGTAATGCATAATGGATAACAGATCAGTTTCTCTGTGGCCGAAGGCCCATCACAACTTTGGTCATCCCTTTGTAACAAGAAATATTCTGAGTCCTTTCACTTCCTTCTAATTTTTCCTCACGTCAGCGGTGCTACAGAAACTTGAGGACTTGAGAACCCAGGAGTGTTTCATGAGCGTGATTTCTAAATACCAAAAAATGTTTGGTATGCTCCTACTGCAAAGGTATCATTGAACCTTTTTTCCAACATGATGATGGACAAAAACACATTTTAATGGTGAAACTTATCATGAAATGTTCCAGATGTTTTGCTATTACTCAAATAGAGCCCTTAACCTTGATGAGATTATCTTTCAACAGGATGGGGCTCTGTGTTGTTGCACATGTGTGCAATGACTTAAACCATCACTTCCACTACCAATGGATTGGGAGATGCAGTCCAACTCCCTGGGCTCCTCAGTCATGTGACCTGACCCCTGCCAACTTTTTTTCTGTGGGGCTGTGTAAAATGTATGTTATAAAGTCATACAATTTAGCAGATTTGGAAGTGTGCATCAGGACTGTAATGTAGGAAATTTCCCTAGAGATGTTGTCCTAAGTTGCAAATCAGGTTGTTCAGAGGTGGCTGCATTGAAATTGGTTTTGTGCTTGTGGAAGTGTTGTGAAAGTTTTGAAGTTAATTTTCTCATATTGAAACAAAACTCTCATAAGTGCTCTGTAGGATGATGCATTTAGTTTGCTTGAATCTCTTTCATTCTTGGAGAAATTTAATTTTGCAACTTGGGAGAAACTTTTGAATCACCCTGTATGTTGCCCAAGGCATAGATACTCCATTGGAGTCCAATCAGCATGTACAGGGTGTCTCAACAAATCATAGCAACATGATTTTTCAATAAAATTTTAAATTCTGCACTGATTCTGATCATGTTTTTATATTTTTGTAGAGCGTTTCAAAAGAATTTTCTAACCCCTATTAGAATGCAAACAATCAAGAATAAATTACCTTATGGCAATCCTCACAGACACCACTTTTCGTGCCACTGCTCTCATTTTTCAGCCACCTGATTGTGTGTGCTAGTGTGTGCTAATTCCATGTACCGTCTCTCTGAGTTAAGAGCTATGGAATAGGTTTTGGAAAGAGCGAACAACAGAGATTTTAGTTGAAATTTGGCATTGAGAGATGCCCAAGTTGATCTGTGATGATCGATTGGCAAAGTTTTTTTAAAGCATGTTTTCACATGCACAGTGGCATGAATCTCAATTTGCCACGCCAAAACTTCGTTCTTCCTGACTCACCTCATGAGCCTTATGTGAATCTGCTGATGAATTTGACCTTGGGCTTCAAGGGTCATTCTAGGCCTTGCCAATCCGGAGAAGATGCGCTATTAATTGCTTTCTTCCTTACTGTGATTTTATTCCAATATTTCACAGAAACTGTAATAATACTTTCATATTTATCCATTTGAGTTCAACAAAGTGTCAGTTGAATTCTCTCAAAATGCTCTACACAATTTATAAACATGATTAGAATCGGTGCAGAATTTAAAAAGTTTTAAAAAAATCAAGTCATTATGATTCGTTGGGACACCCTGTATATGCCCAGTAATCAAAGGTTCTTTTCTTTTTTAGGGCCCACCATCAATGATTCCTGAGAATTTTTTTTCTACTTGCCTAAGCATAAAGCTTCTATGAAGATCCATGTCAGAGGGGTGAAAAGTGGTTTTAGCCCTTTTTCTCTTGGTCTGCTATTTCACTTAACACAGCACCTTGATCCTCCCCTCACTTAACACCTACCCATCAGATCTGCCCTTGTATGAGGATAATGAGTCAGTTACAAGGAAGGGTAGTGGCAGTGAATTCATTTAGGGGTATCCCACATCAAGCATGGGAATATCACCGTACACTATTGGTACACACCAGGATTATTGGCACAAAGAAGCTTTCTAATTTCAATTTCATTGAGATTTTCAGGTTTCAATCTGCATTTTGTTTGTCTCATAGGATACCTATCAAGTGTATATTAAACCATTTGCTTTCTTAATGTGTCACCCATTTTCCCCCATTCATGAGAATGGGGGAAAATTATTATTTCCTAGTTGGAAGCAACTAACAATAGTGATAATTTTTTCCAGTGGTCTTCAAAGTAGTTAGGAAATCATGCAAACAGATTAATGGAAACTTCTGAGGTGTGCTCAAAATTTGCCCAAAATTTTGGTGTCCAAAATTGATTATTTTTGCTTGGAGCTACCTTAATTCAGCTTTGAGTAAAGTTTCAAATATTTTTAGCTTATTGAATGGCAATGGAAAAGCATTTTGATTCCAGCTCATTCTATTTATGGATAATCCAGTCATCACACATACATGTTCATATGTATGCTTCATGTAGATTTTCTGCCTCTGGACTTGGCATTTGACTTGTGAGATTAAAAAAAAACTCCCATGTGTATTTATATAGGTGTGAATTGCTTAAGGCATTTTCCTTTCCAGGTGAGTGCTGTTTTTGCAGCAGATCCTGTTGCAAGGCTCTCTGGGAAAATTGGAGTAGCTGCTGTCACGGCAGGACCAGGACTTACCAATATAGTTACTGCTATCAAAAATGCTCAAATGGCTGAGTCTCCTGTCCTTCTCATGGGTAAAATTTTAGTGCATTACTATTATTGCATGTTAAAATATTTGTGCTCTAATGGAATAAGGCCATGGATATTCATCACCTCACTGGATGAGAATCCATCTATTGCAAATAAGTTTTATGTTTTTGGCCTAAAATTGTTCATGGTTCTGTAAGTAACCACTTGGTATAATAGCATTTATCTGTATGCTGAAATCAGATATCTGAGACTCTTTAGTACAAGTTCAGTTTTTAAAAATTGGTTCAAGGTTATTTCAAAAAGAGTGATGCCATGATGATAAGAATTAACATCTTGGATGGGAGAATCACATTGTAAGAAAGATCTACAAATATTGTTCATTATATGTTGAAGTTAACATGAAAAATTTTAATGAGTACACTGTGCAATCTTCATGAAGTGTCTTACTACATCACTAGTCCACTTAACTTTGGATGGAGCATTTTTACATTAGTTTCCCAAGCTCCACCATGTTCAGACTGGCACTCTTGGTACATTGAAGTAGCCTCATGTTGGTGGCTTCTAAACCAGTACCATATTGATAAAAATGTATTTATTTCTCAACACTTGTCTGCTCCATTCTGAAACCATTTCCCCCACATTTATATAGATGACCCGTCTGTGAGATACTCCCATGACATATACGTCTCCCCTTTCAAGTTCCTCAGTAAAAGACCTCATAGGACTGTCTGCTGTATATTTATATTCTTAACCCTAGCCTTCATTGCATCATATATTCACTCATCTCTACCATCAAAATTCTACACTTCATCTCCAGTATTCCTATAACAGCATTGAAGGTGTTTTTGTAAGTTTTCTCCTTTGGAATAAAAAAAATTTGAATGCACATTCTTTGTGTAGATCGTGTTCATCTGATTTTGGTGGAACCAAAAAAAGAGATTTCTTTTCAAAGTGTTCCATCCTGTAATTGTGATTGATTTTCTCTTTTGTTGCCTTCCATCTCTTGCCATTTACGCATTTTCTTTCTGCATGGTTCTCAGTGCATTCATCATTTACAGGTGGAGCAGCAGCCAATCTATGGAAAGGGCGAGGTGCTTTGCAGGATATTGAGCAGCTGAAACTCTTTGCACCAATATGCAAGTTTACAGCGACTGTCACATCTCTTAGAGATATTGTCCCCACTTTGAGGAAAGCCATTCAGATTGCCCAGTCTGGGACATCTGGTAAGCAATTTTCACCTCATCAATGGATTGATTATTAATAGTTTTCACTATCATTTGTATCAATTTTGACCCTATGAAAGCACATTCTGTAGAATTTTATGTGTATATGAGCTATGGAATATTTTCACATCCAAATAAAATTCTGGTCAGGTGGCATTCATCCTTCTCCCATGTAGGCCTCACCAATATCTAACTCTGAAGTATCTTTGAGATTTTAGGTCCTGTCTTTGTTGAGTTTCCAATTGACACATTGTATCCATATGAAGATGTGAGTAAGGAATTTGCAAATGCTCCAGTTGGTAAAGGTCTCCAAGGAAAGATTGCATCCTGGTAAGAATATTGTTTATTAACTAGAAGTTTGCCCAAAAGACAGAGGTGTTAACTCCAAACTGGAATTTGATGGTAGGTGTATCCAAAAATAAAGCAACAATGTATCATTACGCCCAGGTTTTTGAGAGGATGATAAATGAGGAATATGATGTAAGAGGAAAGGTAAATGGGCCAAAATGCTGGGATGCTCAAAGGATGCATAGGTATAAATATGAAACAAACTTTTTTTGAGCTAGCTACTGTTTTGGAAGTGCTGCAAATTACCAAAGAACATCACTTTTTTTTGCCTCACCCAGTATTTTTTATAGATCTTTTACATCTCCCAAAATATAATTCTTCATTGCAGATTGCTTTGCCCTAGGTTTAACCATGCCATAGAACGTTTTGATAAACTTTAATTGTACTGTTTCTCAGGTATCTGAACAACTACTTGGCAAACCTCTTTGCTGGTGCATTTGAGCAGCGAGACATTTCTCCATTGCCTGTGGACATTCCAATGCCTGTCTTTTCTGTTGGTAAGTCATGTTACTTGTGTACTACCTGAAATTGTCATTCTCCTCCTAACAAATAAGTTTTTCAATTCACTTGATTCCTAGAACTTGATAGCTGAAATATTAGCTTACAAAAATTGCATGAAAAAAAGTTTAATTCAGGAGGGTCCTTGAGGTCAGAATTTGTGCAGGCATGAAGTGAACTCACACGGTTATATTTTAACTGCAATGGCAGTTGCTCTGAATGTCTCCCCCTTAAATCCTTCCTTTGAATAGAATCGTACTTTCCCTGATTGAAGTTGATGTCAATAAAAGGAAGTGATCATTTTTACAGTGGAAAAGGCTGTTGATATGGTGAAGAAAAGTAAGAAGCCACTCCTCATCATTGGCAGTCAGTGTATGCTGCCTCCCACAAGTGTGAGGAGGCTGAAGGCAGCAGTTGAATCCATGGGCATCCCCTGCTATCTTGGGGGAATGGCCAGGGGTCTTCTGGGTAGGGACTCAAGCATCCAGATGCGACATTCCAGGCGTGATGCTCTCCGGGAAGCTGACTGCATCATCCTTGCAGGTCCGATGCATTCTCCACATTTCATGTCTTATGGTTATGTGGTGATAGTGTTGTATTTAATTGGGAGTTCCTTCCATCTTTTCCATTGCAGGTGCTGTGTGTGACTTCAGGCTTTCATATGGACGTGGCCTCAACAGGCGGGCTAATTAACAACGTCACTTAGCCTTGTTCCTCGTTAACACCTTTTTGTCACTAGAGAAGACCTTTGGTTCACAACGTCGACTCACACTACACCCCTGAAAGTAGACGGTCGAGAGACGAAGTGAACGACCAGTTGAATTTTCTTGTACAACTGACTGGGTCCAGAAACTCAGGGAAAGGGATGAAGTGACAGGGATGAAAAACAAAGATGTGAGACCCTTCTCATTTTGAGAAATCAAATATCATCAGTATCCAAGAGCCAATATATGCATACCTCAGGCTCTCTGGAAAAAGTATGGGAGCTTATTGGTCTCTCATGCTTTTCCTCATCACATTCATTATGTCACAGGAAATGTAACTTGGAATTGTCTTACTTCAAGCATGGCAACCTCATAGAATCTCCCTCCTTCAGGAATTTCGTAATGTGCTGATAATTTTGTCTCACCTCGTCCTGTAACATTTCTGCAGTCTCCCTTCTGGTTTAGTTTTTCATGACATGTTGGTTCATCAATTTTTCATGGCTTTGATGGTTATACTAATGATCCCTATGAATTTTCACGAAGTACCAGAATCAAAATTTACTAATGCTAATATAAACATAATGCAAATGCATGAGTGATGATTGGACCCTAGAGAGCCTGGAAAAGGAGAGCTCAGAAGCAAAAAGGAGAAAGAGAAAGAGAAAATAAAAAAGAAAAGGACAGCAGGAATTTCAACCACTGAAGGGGTTGACTCTTGTTAATTCCCATATGTACTGGTGCTAGTCCCCCACCACTGATCCTTCCAATAGACTGCTGTGTAACACTGATTTGAATATGCAGATCATACATGATAATGCACCTGGCCTGAAGTAATATGCCAAGACACCTTTCCTTTCTTCCTTTTTCTCATTGCTTGTTACTTGTCAATCACTATAAACCAGGGGTGTCCAACTCAATTTGGCAGGGCCAGCCACTATAGCATGAAAGATGATTCACTAAGTTTGAACTTCCAATCAAGTAACAGTGTACTCACCTTATGTTCATGTTGAACTGCATTAACAGAGAACTCTGATAACTTGGGTACTTGTTTTTAAAGGCGAAATTCAAGAGAAAACTTGAGGTGTTACATGAGCTACCTATTCTTACTGAACTTCCCCATTGTTTCAGGTTTCTGAAGTTTTATTCTTTGCACTTCATCATTCATATCCACAGTTTGGCAGAAGTGGACACAATAAAACGTCACAACTTACCATGTCTGGCTGTGATTGGGAATGATGGAGGATGGACACAAATTCTCAGGGAACAAGTTCCTCGTTTCCAGTCTAGTGTTGCTTGTCTCCTTGATGTAAGTGATCCTTGATCATCTTTGATACTCTACCCATTGCACTGAAAAAGATGGAGTGCATTCACAGAAATATCTTTTCTCTGGGCTTGCATGATATCCCCATTTCTGTTTAAAATGTATCAAAAAAAAAGCTTGAAGATTTGCATGAACCTGGTGTTGCAGCACAATGACTATCACACGGTGACCGATGGATATGGAGGAAGAGGATTTTGTATCAAAGAGAAGGCAGAAATCAGCACAGAAATCAAGGAGGCAATGGAGTGGTAAGAAGAAAAGCAGGTACCAGTTGTGATCAATGCCCTCATTGGGAAGACATCTTTCAGGGAAGGGAGCATCTCAGTCTAACACTCGAGTTGTTCTACATCGATAGAGGCCTATTCATAACCTAGTCGGTTTTGGGGTTTCACGCTATAATGTTGATACATGCATTATTGGGGAAATTTGTATGGTCACAGTTGTTGAAAGAAAGCAGCAGGGGATCAAGTCCATGCTTCATACTTATGCTTGAATGACTGAAGGCTGGGGAGACTAGTGGCAGTCAAAGGGGCAATAGGATTATTAGAAGGGAGGAAACTTGCTATTTTACAGGTACTGTATAACTTTCGTTAAGCATGTCATTTCTTTAAATACCTTCATTGTCATATGGACCTTTCTGGGTGAGTCTACCATCCAATTACACAGTGTTTATGCAAAGCTTACACAATGTGAAAATACAATGTTTCCAATCAAGTGGATCCTGCACAAGAAGTAACATCTATTGTTACCATTCCATAGCTCAGGAATATTATTTTGGGATATTCAATTAATTATTCATCATATGCATAATTCTTTTTTGGGCATCATAAGGTGCATCCAGAATGTATCTATTACTTGCCTATAACACAACAGTACTCAAACTTTTTGAGCCAGAGGCCACATACGGATGTGACCAAACTTGTGCGTGCCACACTTTACAAAAAAAGTCTACTTGCACAGCAAAAAAAAAATCCAGTCAGGGTTATAGTGTTCATTGTGAGTTTCTTTTCACTGCAAAGTACATTTAGTATTCATGGGCCATATACAGCCTGCTGGCCTCAGTTTGAATACTGCTGCTATAACAGGAGGATAAGTTGCAATGACTAATTCAAACCTAATCCTAACCTTACCTTATCCTCAAACATTTTTGTTTGAGGGTAAGATAGGTGCCATCATATTCCCTTCCATGGTAACCAACAATATCCATTGAGGTACTGCTATCTATCTCTTTCTGATATTGAAACTGTCAGGGAAAATGAAGGAATGTATCAAAATGCAACTAATTGAATTTCACTTAAAAATTTTATTTAGTGTTATGAATTGATCAAAGAATTGTTGCATTCCTCTGATTTTGATGTTTTCATGAGGAATTCATTTCTGTTATAAAATGTCTGGAGGTCATTCCTCCAAATTATGAATAAAGAAAAATGTTATGAAGCCATTTTTGAGTTCATATTGAAAACATTATTAAGATTCTTGACATTATTGGCAGGACTGGTGGTGTAATTATCAAGTTTCATCCCATGTCCTGTCTGATGGTTTAGCATCCCTTCCTCCCTCCAGGGAGGCTGTGTGCAAGATTATGCCATAAGACTCCTTAACTTGTCTTATAATATCTTACTCTGATTCAAGAGTTTCTAGACCTCCTGGCCCCCCCCCCCTGTCCCCTAGCTAAATCACTGGCGGTAAGAATTTGGATTTTAATATTGAACTCGATGTCATCCTCTCTGGTCTCATGTCCCTTTTTTCACCTTGAGCACAGTGCACACATGTTTATATTGTTTTCCTTTTCCTTAACATTAAAATAAATTTGAAGGATGCATATATAAACTGGGTGATGAAAGGAAGGTGAAATCACTTCTAATCCCATGTTCCAAAGCTTTTTTCATACTAAAAACTCACAGACACATGCTGCGATTCCTGAAATTGGCACATGTGGTGCGTTTGCAATCTAATGAGTTCCAACTCAATTTATGCCATTCACAGTTCCCTCTTGACAAAACTCAGCACTTGCGGAGAAGCCCCTTTGCCTTTTCTCTTGTGCAATCAATGGGAGCACAAGCTATTTGCTGACACGCCTCATCCAGGGCCGGATTAAGGGGGGGGCAAAGGGGGCAGTTGCCCCGGGCCCCACTCTTCCAGGGGGCCCCCGGAGGAAATTAAAAACGTTAAGTTAAAAAAAGTATTGTATTTGCGTAAAGTAGCTGGGGGGAGGGGGGGGGGCCAAGAATTCACTTGCCCCGGACCTCGTAACTTCTTAATCCGGCCCTGACCTCATCTGATGAACCAGAGGATGTTGACTTCGGTTCTTTGCTCTGGCTCCAGGTGCCACTGAGCCAGTTTCAGTTTCTCACTCACTGCTCCATTCCATCATTCCTTGTGCAATCGAGTCGTACGCGTACGAATGAATCTCATATCATCTGCAACACGTAACGTCAAAAGCTAAGCATCAAATCACGTTCTGTCGAAAATTATCGCTGATATTCCAGGCAACGATATCGAATCAGTGTGAATCACGTAGTGTCGAATCTCCTAACGTCAAATCTCATAGGATAGAGATTCAGCAAGAAAATTGCTCTTCCATCTAATCACGTAGCTTCGAAAACGCGGAACATCAACTCATGTAGCGTCGAAAACACATTGCGTTAAATCATGCACTCATAATGTGTGTAAAATGTGTAGCATCGAATCACGCTCGGGTTTCTTTCAGTCAGTTCCCCGATGCTATGATCGAACACATTAGGGATGAAGTCGGATCGGTGGTGGGCTCCGAGGAAGTGAAGGTGGTCCTTCACGTTGAGACAAACAATACTTCCTAGTCTGGCTCTGAACTCATCATGGGCAGGCTATTAGGGCGTATCGGGAGGCAAGGTCTGGGTACGAGTGACGGTATGCGCGATCCCGAGCCGGCTAGACAAGGGAGGAATCACGTGGTCCAGGTCGGAAGGACAGGTTAAGGAGTTATGTATCGCAGAGGGGAAGGTGTTTCTGGACACTAGGGAGGTTCTGAGGCATTGTAAAAGTCCGATGGCGAGGGACGAAGTACATTCCTCGAAAGAGGGAGCTGGAGCAGTCGGATTGGCTATCATGAAGGAAGTGGAGCCTTTTTTAGAGCTCAAGGGGATGGCACTGAACGATGGTTCCGATGTCATTGGAATAACCGAGACTTAGGGTGGTTCTCACATTATGGATAAAGAATTCGAGATTGAAGGATACGACATCTTGCGGAAGGATAGGCCCGGTAGAAAGGAGGGGAGGGGAGTCATGTACACTAAAACTGAACTGGGCGTCCGCGTCAGAGATCTCACCTCGGCTAACTGCGGCGCAATCGAACACTTATGGGGTGCGAGATCGGTGGGGCAACTGGGAGGATCATGCTAAGAATTTGCCATTGGCCCCCAAACTCTTCTCTTGAGAATGAAGCAGCTTATTTTGCACTGATGCGTAGGATCAGCGAGATCTCGAAACAGGTATTGCTCTTCGGAGATTTAAACACGCCTAGCATGGATTGGTGCCGCGAGGGGGGAGCGAAAGGGATCGGGAATTTCTCGCTGCGGTTCAGGATGCTCTACTCGTTCAGCACCTAGAAGAGCCGACTCGCGAGGAAGCTTTATTGAATTTAGTTTTGGCGACGAACGACGATCTGGCTCTAGACGTTAAGGTACAGGATGACTTGGGAGATTCGGACCACTGCGCGATCACGTGGAGTATCAAGCAGACGAAGAGTAACGCCGAACCGACGAAGGTTTCGTACAAGGCTAATTTGAGAGGCTACGTGAATGGGTTTCAGGTATTTACTGGTAGGTGCGGTTCCGTGGGCTGACGGAAGAGGAGCAATGGGGGCGTTCGAGACGTCATTGCAAGGCATCATGAAGGAATGCATCCACAAGAAGTCCACGAAATCGGTCAGGCAACCGGTCTGGTTTACCGGTAAAATGAAAGCACTCATCAAGGATGAGAAGCGGAAATGGGATGCGTATAAGCGCCCAGAAGAAAGAACGGACCGTGAGGAATATAGGAGGATCACGAGAACATCGAAGCGGGAAATGAGGTCGAGGAACGGCTGGCCGGCGATGCTAAGAAGAACCCCAAGGCTTTTTATCGATATGCTAGTGGTAGGAGTCGACAGTCGATCGGACCTCTAATGAACGGCAGGGGGGAGTCGATTGCAAACAATAAAGATATGGCTCGGATACTTAACGAGTTCTTCGCTTCCGTTTTCACTGTGGAATCCGACTTTGGAGGAGGTGACTTCGGCTCGCATCGAGGATATTTCCGTGACCGAGGAGACGATCGTGAATAAGATAGTGAAGTTAGCGGTGGGCAAGGCGACCGGCCCCGACGGGATTCCCAAGAGTCATCGAGGAACTCAAGAGAGAAATATCGGTTCCGCTAAGAAGCATATTTCATATAGAAATATAAGCATATAGAAATATATCATATATAAGCATATATAAGCATATCATAAGCATATAGAAGGCAGCTTTCGTGCGGTGAAGTACATGAAGACTGGAAGCTAGCGAACATCATACCGATCTTTACGTAGGGTGGAAAGAGTAATCCGGGGAATCATAGGCCGGTAAGTCTCACGAGTATCCCAGGGAAGATCACGGAGAGCATACTAAGGGACCACATTTTGGATTTCCTCGAAGGAAACGCGCTCATCCGGGACTCTCAGCACGGCTTTAAGAGGCGTCGTAATCGTCTCACCGACTTGCTCCAATTCTACGATTGGGTACGGAAGAGAGGGATGAGGGGAATCCCGTGGACGACGTCGATTTAGATTTCGCGAAAGCTTTCGATACCGTTCCTCACGAGAGGTTGCGGGTTAAACTGGAGGCACACGGGATCCAGGGTAAGACGAGCGAGCGGATCAGTAACTTGTCGACGGGAAGAGAGCAACGAGTAATGGTAAATGGGGAAGCGTCGACCGAGGTCGGGAGAGCAAGCGGGGTTCCTAAGAGGGGTTCCAAAGAGGACCACAAGAATCATAAAGGAGGTTAGGAGGGGACTTCCGTACGACAAGCGTTTAGAAGTGTTGGGACCGTACGAGCGAGAGAGAAGCTTAAAGAGGGGCGATCTCATCCAGGATTTCAAGCTAATTAGAGAAGTAGATAACGTCGAGCGTGGTAGGCCCTTCCAGTTCGTAATCGACTCAAGTTACGTAAACCGCTGATGTGGCTCTGGTTGAGACACGACTTTTTTTTACTTAAGGACCCACACAGCACAGTGATATCCCAGGGATGTCCCGA